ATTACATCCCCTGGTCATCTGCACTGGTTCATTCAATAAATATTTCTGAGATTGGGCATGGTGACTCAGGCCTGTAATCCCAACACTGGGAGGTCAAAGTGGGCGGATCTCTTGAGCCCAGATGTTTGAGACCAACCTGGGCAATATGGTGAAACCCTGTCTCTATGAAAAATACAAAAATTAGCTGGGCATGGTGATGCGTGCATGTAGTCCCAGCTACTCTGGAGGCTGAGGTGGGAGGATCACCTGAGCCTGGGAGATGGAGGCTGCAGTAAGCCATGATCGCACCACTGCATTCCAGCCTGGGCGACAGAGTGAGACCTTGCCTCAGAAATAATAATAATAAATAAACATTTCTGAGTACCTACTTTGTGCTCTTCCAGGCACGTGAGCTATATCAATAGACAAAACTCACAAAAATAATCTTGCCTTCTGGAGGTCATATTCCAATGAATAAAACAGAAAATAATAAACATGATGCATAATTAGAATGTTAGACAGTGATGAATGCCTTAGAAAAAGATTGGAGCAGGTTAAGGAGATGGGGAATGGGAGAGGAGACATTGTAATTCAAAATTGATTGGTCAGGAACTCAAACAAATACTTGGACACTAATGGCAGCATTATTCAAAATAGTCAATAGCTAGAAGCAACCCAGATGCCCATCAACGGATGAATGGATAAACAAAGTGTGGTAGGTACACGCAGTGGAATATAATTCAATCATTAGAAGCAATAAAGTACAGACCCATGCTACAATATGAACAAAACTTGGAAAGATTATGCTAAGTGAAATTAGGCAGTCACAAAGGGCACTTATTGCGTGATTCCATTTATAGGAAATATTCAGAATAGATAAATCCATAGAGTCAGAAAGTAGATTGGTGGTGGCTATGGGTTTGTGGTAGAAGAGGAAGAATGGGGACTTCATGTTAATAGGTGTGGGGTTATACTTGGGGATGGTGAAAATGTTTTGAAACTAGATAAAGTTAGTGGTTGTACCACACTGTGAATGTACCAAATGTCACTAAATTGTGCACTTTAAAATAGTTAATTTTATGTTATGTTAATTTCAGCACAATTTTTAAAAATCAGAAGCAAAAAAAAGAACAGAAAATTGAGTAGTCAGGCTAAGTCTCATTGAGAATGTACAGTCTGAGTGCCCACTTGGAGGAGGTAAGTTAGCTCTTGGAGGAGGTGGGTAATGGGAAGAAGCTGTCCAGGCGGAAGGAACAACGTGTGCCTAGTGCCTTCAAGGAACAGCAACGAGGATATGGGGTTGGAGGGGAGGGGTCAGAGAGGTGATTGGTGGTGTTCCATCGTGTGGGACCTCCCTACTTCTGTAAAGATGTTGGCTTTTCCTCTGGGTGAGGTGGAAGACTTTGGAGGCCTCCTTGATTTGACCTAGGTTCTAACAGAATCTCCAGAGTATCTGTTTTAGGAATAGACTTAAGAGGGTACAACTGGAAGCAGGGACAGCAATTTAGAAGCAATTATTAAAATCCAAGTGAGAGACCATGGTGGATTGGACAAGGATGGTGGCCATGAGAATGGAGAGATGTAATTGCAGGTAGGATGTGCTTTGAAGATGAAACCATAAGTTGTCCTGATGGATTGCATTTCCAATATGTGAGGAAGAGAAGAGTCAATAATAAATGGAGTCTTGGTCTGAGCCAACATTCAGCATGGAGTTATCATCATTGCGATTAGAAGGCAATGGGAGACAGTGACTTTTCTTTGGGGCAAGGGAGGCAAGGAGGCTGGAGGAGATCAGAAGTTCTGTTCTGGAGACATGAAGCTTTTGTAAATTCCACTTGTTCCTTGAATATATGCTGGTTTCTTCTGATTTTTTCTTTTTGTTGTTTGTTTGTTTGTTTTTTTAAATTTTAGATTCTAGGGTATAGGTACTTGTTTGTTACAAAGGTATATTGCATACTATTGGGGATTGGTCTTACCCAATTAGTGAATATTGTACCCAGGAGGTAATTTTTCATTCATCACTCCCTACCCTCCCTACTTTTGGAGTCCTCAGTGTCTCTTATTTCCACCTTATGTCCATGTGTACCCATGGTTTAGCTCCCATATATGAGTAAGAACATGTGGTGTTTGGTTTTCTGTTTCTTAACTGGTTCACTGAAAATAATGGTCTCCAACTCCATCCATGTGGCAAAGGACATAATCTCATTCTTTTTATGGCTGCACAGTAATCCTTGGTGCATAGGTACCACATTTTCTTTAGTCAACCATTGATGGACACTTAAGTTGGTTCCATGACTTTCCTTTTGTGAACAGCGCTGCAGTGAACATACTAGTAGTGGTGGAGAGGGGTCTTTTTTATATAATGATTTCTTTTCCTTAGAAAAGTAGTGAGATTTCTGGGGTGAATGGTAGTTTTATTTTTGGTTCATTGAGAAACCTTCATACAGTTTTCCATAGAGATTGAACTAACTGACATTCTCAGCAACAATGTATAAGCATTCCCTTTTCTCCACATCCATCCCAACATCTGCTGTTTTTTGAGTTTTTAATAATAGCCATTCAGACGGGTCTTCTGGTTTTTGGAGGGGAGGATTGGGTGAAGCAGGAAGGAGTTTGGAGGGAAGGAGTGGAGGCTTGAGTGGGCCTCGAGTTTAGAGTGTGGGCAAGAAGGATCCCAGAGGCAAGCACTTTACTCAAGGCACCGCAGCTAATAAAGCTTGGGGGTCCAGCACATTCTCCAGAGGCCCAGGCCAGGCCGTTTAGGGCCATGCTGGTTCTGCCCCATCCGCTGCGGGTCCTGCAAACATTTTCATCAAGAAAAAAATAATTAAAAGAAAAACAGAATAAAAATGGTACCCAGGTGTGCTCTAATGAAATGAAGGGGAAAAATCCATTTCTGGCTTATAGTGAGAGTCACTCAATGAGAGCCTGACTCACTGAAATTCATACAAGATTAATGTAACCAAGTTCTCTGTCTTTTGACACCGGTTTACAGTAAGAGCAGGCCACACATGGCCAGCTCTGGAATGTGTTAGGACATTTGCATGTTACATTTCAGTGTGATATCTGCTAAGTCAAATGAAGAAGTCTTGAAAGATGCCTTCTAAGTTTGGAAGTATTTGAGTGTCACATTCCATAAGCCAGCAGCTAGTTAGTTGTTGCCCTCAAAATATAAAGTTTTGTTTGTTCTTTTGTTTTTTGGTTTTTTTTTAGTGGATATGTCAGTGAAGTAGATTATAAACAGACACATATAAGATTTCAAAACTGTAACAAAATTAAGAAAAATCTAGTTCAATGAGGTTAGATTCTATGAAATTAATCTGAAAAGGGATAGTAGTTATGAGAAGTCTTTAAAAAGTGGATATTTGCCAGAGAAACAAGCAGATACTGTTTCTGATTAAGTTGGCAGAAATGTATGAGTGCTTAAAATGCCTTGCTTTATTCGTTTATTAGAAGAGCTTGCCTTTTTCCAGTTTGTCTGAAGTTGGTATAAACTACTCTCTGTTATGTTGGGTGGTGCCTGAATAGTGAGAAGCCAAAATGATTTAGTTCTTTTCAAAGAAGAAAGTATAGACTAGCTTATTTTAATAACCCAGTCCCAATTATAAAAAGAAAAGCTTTACCACTCTAATCTCTGGCATAGAGAATGTTCTCTTTTTTAGTTGACATTAGGGGTAAAGAAAACCTTGGCTTTGAAGTTCAGCAAGTCTTGTTTCAACCCCAGCCGCAACTGGGTGAACTTAGTCAAATTACTTAACCAGTCTTATCCTTGGGTTTTTATTTTTATCTATAAAATTTGAGTGATGTTGATGATAAGTACCACTCAGTATTGCACTTTGAACGAAAAGTCTGAATTGTCAAATGAACAACTGAATTGTTTTACAGGAATAGTTCAACTTTAATAAATACTCCTGCAGAATTTCATCATGATGTTAAAATTGATGGAAGCTTTATTTTCTAAACTGAGAAACCAGTGCTCACGTGGCCTAGTTTAAGAATGAATGCTCAAACTTAATACATGTTTTAAAAAGATGTTTTGGGATATCAAATGTAAAACAATTCCTAGTTTGTGTTATTTTGTTGAACAAACCCTACGCAGCACTTGGGCAATCGCAGGCACCGTTGCAGACTCGCTGGCTCCTGGCTGTGATCTCATGCCCCAATTGCAATAAGATCCTGATGAAATGGACTTCCACAAGTAGGTCAAGAATAACAATGTGCAGACCTAATTCCTCTAATTTACGGTGAACATCTCATGGTTAATCTCCTCTCCCAGCGGTCAAAGGACTCTATATCTCTTCCTCTCAGAGCCACTCCACATGCCAAAAGGCTGACTAAACCCCTGACAGATAAGAGATTCAAGAGTGGTCCCAGCCCCCGTGGGGAGCAAAGACACTGGCTCAAAAAATGTACTGAGAACTCTCCCTTTTGCAGCTCCTCCTTTCTTAACCTTCCACAAGCAGCGGCAGTTGGATTCTGTGATTAGTCTGGTCTTCAGAGCCAGCCTTCTTGGGTTCGGATTCTGACTTCAACTCTTAATGTGAAGTGACGTGGGCAAGTTGCTTAATCTTTCTGTGCCTCAGTGTCCTTGTCTGTAAAATGGGCATCATCATAATAGCGCCTGCCTCATTGGGTGAGTGTGAGAATGAAGGAATTAATACATGGAAATCACTTAGACTGTGTCTGGCATAGAGGACATTCTAAAGAAAGGTTAGTTATTATCATTATATTATTATATTGGTCTGGAATTAGTTCCTGAATCCTTCTGAGATGTGATGACTCATAAACGTAGGTTGAGTTTACTCATGTTAGGGTCATCGCAACTATGCATAGCTAAAATCAAATTTTGCTTTTGAAGTTTGTTTTACCTGGAGCCCAAGAGTTGAGGGTTATGGTTTCCTTTGTCATTCCACTTGAGGGAAGCTTCTTAGTCACAGCTTCCTTCTCTTTCTCTGCACTCTAGAAAAACTTCCTTTTTTTTTGTTTTTCTTCATCCAGGCAGAGAGCCCTACTGGGACTTAAATCCAAGGAGCTGAAATCTGTTTTGGGATGGGATGGAGTCACATTCTGGACCCTAGACAGAGAATTTCTAAGTTCCAGAAAGTGCTGCTTACTTTGCATTGCCTCTCCCCAACCTTTGCTTTCGAAACTCCTGGCACCAATGCTGCCAAGGCTGACGGAGCTTTCGTGAGTGGTGTCTCCGGAAATGAGGTGTCAAGGAATATCTGGAAAGGCAGCCTCCAGGCCCCCAGTGTCAAGACGGTTTAGAACTGAAAGTGTCCTAATATCGGGGCACAGGCAATAAGCATTATTTATTATTCAGCCTGAGAAACTGATGCTAAAATAGGAGGAAATCATTCAATTATTTCCTGTCAAGGGATTACTCAATGTTGTTTTTATGTTTAAATATTTATTTGTCAACATCAAGAATTCTTAGGACATGATGCATCAGCATTTTTGAACAAGTCATAGATTTGACCACAAATCAAATTTCAGGATGGGTGGAGTGTCTCTGCTTTAAAATAGAAGAGAGTGAGTAGTCTAGGAGGAGGGAGCTACATAGACTGGAAACTATTCTTAGCTCCGTCACTGACTCCAAGTTCATCCCCTCTGTCTTTCAGTTTGGGTAAGCATCAATTAGTTATCTAAAATTTGTAATAAAAAAGTCTTCATCATTCATGATTGTGTTTATCTTTATGTTTATAAATTTCTATGTTGCTTCTATTCCTCCCCTTATATTTTAAGAAAAGAAGTAAGAAAGTAAATGATTATTTTTCTGAAAGAAAAAATAAATGTATTTATTATTATTCACAGACCTTCAACTATTCTTAGAAAGCCTTTGGTGACTCCTGGGAACAAGCTGAGTCAGGAACAAAAGTTTGAGGGTTTGGGGTTGAGCATAGGACAATTGCTTGGCTAATGCTTTAGTCTAGTTCTGACTTTGCTACTCCTAAGTTGCTTTGTGATGACTACTTGCACACGTGTCTGTTTGTGAGTTATTTTTGTGAGCATGCTGCCACCAGCCTGTGTGGATGTCTGTGGTTTCACAAGATACAATGTATTTTCTAAATCTACTGAATTTTATGTTTTTTTGTTTTGTTTTGTTTCAAAAATAGAAACTCATATTCTTTCCTTCTTAATTAAGTTTATTTCGGGACATTCTCATGAGACTGGTAAAATATAACTGTGAAGTAGCATGATAATTGTGAAATAGTATGATTATTGTGAGATCTATATGACCTGAAACTTCTATAGGAATAAGTGCAATACTGCATATCTGAAACCTGCTGTTATGTCTCTTTGCACTTAATGAAATATGTGTTGATCGATTCATTCTCCTGGGTAGTGCTGAGAAAGTAAAAATCATGGCTGATAAAAATTCTGTTTATGGTTTTGTCTAATTTATTTTTCAGTTAAGATATAGGCTACTCTTCCCAACTCAGCCTTGGAGAGCATCATCAACTGCCTCACGTGTGGTGACCTTCACTGTCGTATGCCAGTGACTCATCTGGAGTAATCTCAACAGCCAGTTACCAACACTTGCTCTTGATTGATAAACAGAGAATGGGGCTTTGGATCTTAGCAATTCTCACAATTCTCGTGTATTCCACAGCAGCGAAGTTTAGTAAGTATTGCCTTTTAACTATAATTTAAATTTTTATAAATTAAATAATTTCAAGAACATTCACCTTGTTTTAAGCAGCATGCTTCCAATTGTTCCAGTTGAATTGTAAACTGAAAAATACATTGTTTTCGTATGATCATTATTCATTACAAATCTATCAGAAGAAATTCTTTGTAATGAATATATCATCAGTTTGGCTTCACATATTCAAATGCAGCAGAATTTAACATGGTGCCTGCACATGGGAAGTGTTGCAGATGTTTATTGACTGACACAAAGTTTGTTTAGATAGGTATGACTGCTTTTCCACCGGAGAACTGTGAGGGGTTTAGCTCCAAATTAACTCATTAGCATTTCATTAGAGATCTTAATCAGTTACTTATTCTTTCCCAAAGTATCACAGTATATGACTGGCTTCTAAATTTAATCCTGGAAGCAAATATTGAGAGGCTAGGAATTACGATCTTCTCATTTGATCATTTCAGGATCGTCTTTATATCTTTTATTTGCAGGTAAACAATCGTGGGGCCTGGAAAATGAGGCTTTAATTGTGAGATGTCCTAGACAAGGAAAACCTAGTTACATCGTGGATTGGTATTACTCACAAACAAACAAAAGTATTCCCACCCAGGAAAGAAATCGTGTGTTTGCCTCAGGCCAACTTCTTAAGTTTCTACCAGCTGAAGTTGCTGATTCTGGTATTTATACCTGCATTGTCAGAAGGTATTATGCGGAGAGCTCCCATCTTCTTTCACCCTGCTCCCCTTTCTTGAATGGTTGATTGCCTGAGGTGCCCTTGCTTTCATTCCTTCCCTAGTCTTTTCTGGAACAGTTAAATTTATAAAGTGATTTGAATAAAAGTGATTTGGATAAACTTCTAGGAATACTATCAGATTGAGGTCTAGCTCATTTTGAGCTATTTGGATTTACAGTTGCAGGGATTAATTTGTAGCTGACTTAGAGAAAAACCTAGCTTTCCTAGTGACCAAGATAACTGAGAGCAATTGCTTACATTTGGCTGGAATTAAGAACAAACTAGAGCAGAAAATAGTAATCTGGATGTTTTCCATCTCAGGGGGCCTCTAGTAGGTGAAAAGGGGCAATGACCAATGCTTTGAACCTCCAAGTTAAGCCACAGAAGGCTGATGAGATTGTGTGCCTAAAAATTACTCTTGTTCACAAATTGTTAAATGTTTCGATTTTGTGATTGTATTTGGCACACACAAAATGTCAAATGAACGACATCAAAAGGCAGGATGTATTAGTTAAGGGCCTAGGTCTGAGGCCAGACAACTGTCAAATTCATGCTCTGCCACTAGTTAACTGTGCGATGTCAGCAAGTTACTTCTCTGCCCTTTAGTTTCCTTCTCTGTAAAATGCATATAATGTAATAATAGAATTCATCTCAAAGCATTACTGTGAAAATAAACTAAGGTAATGGGGAAAAGTGCTCAACATTGTTACTGGTACATAATAAACTCTCAATAAATAGTGGTTATCTTTATTACACTGGGATTACAGCGTTACAGCAGATGTAGTATATGAATAAATGGCAAAGAAGTCATTGTTAGGGCTACTATGGGGGCTATGTTTTTAGCTCAAATGTAACAAAAAAGTATTTAAACTCTAGATTTTCATGTTTATTTTTAAATAAGAAAATACCCATTATGTATATTGATGGTTTTTAAGAAGAAAAGCAATATTAAGTAAAGGCTAAATTTAGGTTAAGTTATTTCACAATGCTAAGTGACTCTTAATTTTTGGATTTATTTTAATAGTCCCACATTCAATAGGACTGGATATGCGAATGTCACCATATATAAAAAACAACCAGATTGCAATGTTCCAGATTATTTGATGTATTCAACCGTATCTGGATCAGAAAAAAATTCCAAAATTTACTGTCCTACAATTGACCTCTACAATTGGACAGCACCTCTTGAGTGGTTTAAGGTAAGAGGAAATTTGGAAGGAAATAGATGAAAATTACACAATTAAAATAGACACAAGTGGCCAGGCACAGTGGTTCACGCCTCCAATCCCAGCACTTGGGGAGGCCAAGGCAGGCAGATCACTTGAGGCCAGGAGTTCGAGACCAGCCTGGCCAACATAAAGAAACTCCATCTCTACTAAAAATATAAAAATTAGCTGGGCATGGTGGCACACACCTGTAATCCCAGCTGCTTGGGAGGCTGAGGTACGAAAATCACTTGAACCCAGAGGGCACAGGTTACAGTGAGCCCAGATTGCACCACTCACTCCAGCCTGGGCAACAAAGATTCTGTCAATAAATAAATAAACAAAAGTGAAGAATTACTGAAAAGGAAATGAAATTTCTCATTTCAGAATTGTCAGGCTCTTCAAGGATCAAGGTACAAGGCGCACAAGTCATTTTTGGTCATTGATAATGTGATGACTGATGATGCAGGTGATTATACCTGTAAATTTATACACAATGAAAATGGAGCCAATTATAGTGTGACAGCGACCAGGTCCTTCACGGTCAAGGGTGAGCTACCAACATTAATGAGGTAGAATACTACTGGAAAGAAGTCAAAGTGGGAACAGTTGTGCCCTTCTGGTTGGGTTTCTTGCGCTTCACCCTCCTCCCTCTACTTCCTCCTGTTCCATCTTATCTTAACACATTCTGAACTATGACGCAAAGAGATTTTCTGAACGCACTATCAAGATTTAAGAAATTTCAGGGGGAATTACATTACTAATTCAAAGCCACATCTATTCTTGATTCTTTTTTTGTGACTTAATTTTTCAAAGATAAAGCAGTCTGAATTCTAACTTAACTTACTTTTTTTGAATGGCAATACAAAATTTGCCATTCAAATTTTGGAGAGCAAAACCAACTTTTTTTTTTTCCTAGTTTGATTTCAGAGTTTCTGCAAATTAAAAAGAGAAGAATTTACTCTTTAGTAATACTCACTGGATTCAAAGTTTAATGAGAGGCTTTATGATGCGATACTATGGTGTACATAAATGTTATTGCGTGGATTTTAATCCATGTTTGCAAAATACTTTCAATATCATCAGTGGCCTTGAGTAGTTCACTTCATTCTAAAAATGTGTTTTCCAAGTTGTCTTAAATTTTATAAAAGCCTATTTAAGGGAAAGACTTCACGATCATAGCTTATCAATCTGTAAATAACTGGGGTCTCCTTAGCACAAGTTGATCTACACACGTTGATGAAATAGCCCCTTAACGTATGACAGTTTTTTTAGGGCAAAGCAATATTGGAGACAATTTTTTGGAGTTTTCCAATACTTCACCGCACCACTGCAAAATAAGCATCACCAGACCACATTCCTATTAGCGTCTCTTTCTGTTTAATATCAACCCTTACAGTGGTCCTTAATCACACTGTCCTTAAATAAATGAGCATGAAGGGATGGAGGATTGCAGCAGCGCTCCACAAGCACTGCCAGTCCTTCAGCCCTGGTGGTCCCAGGAGTCAGAATTCCATACGGGGAACAGTTCCCTGAGGATGGGCCACCCTAGTGGAGAACTGCGAGCAAATCTGTGGACTCATCCATTTATTGTTTTCAGAGGTCTTTTGAAATCTTCCCTGTAGTCTTATTCTGTAGAAGTGTAGTTTTCTAACAATTACTAGGTCATGTAATTAGTTTTATGGGTTGGACCTGCATTTGTTTTAGTGATGTCAAAGAGAATACAGATATTACAAAGCATCATAGGTAATAAAAGAAAGCTTTATTTAAATGCTTTTCTGTTTCGTGTGTGTGTGTGTGTGTGTGTGTGTGATTATGGGTTATTGTTACAAGAATTTGAAAAACATTGCTATGAAATAGAATAGAAACATGAAGATACAAACTTATATTGAGTAGCATTCAATGCTCCCCTAATATTTATATTTCTTTTTGTCCTTAAGATGAGCAAGGCTTCTCTCTGTTTCCTGTAATCAGAGCCCCTGCACACAATGAAACAAAGGAAGTGGAAATTGGTAAGAAAATTTATCAGAATGCTGTAAATATTGCCTGGAAAATCCTTCCATATGACCCCTGTTCTGAATTCCCTTAGCAGGGGTCAGGCAATTAGCATAGGGAACCTTGAGGGGTAAGTGAGGTGACATCCCTGGAAGCACCTGCCCCAAGCATTTGCTAATATTGGGAACCAGGACACAGCAATTGCAGTATTTACATTTGTTTATTGCATGTTGTAATTCATGGTGCTTTCATGTATGCATCTAATTTCATCTTCATCTCTATCCCAGAGCTTGGGATGGAAACCTGCAGAGTGTCCATTCTGGCCAATGGTAGCCAGGTCTGGTAAAACACATTTATATTCAAAGGTAGCTTATGGAGAGATGAAGAGAGTACTGTAGAAAGACGTGGAGGGAGCAGTTGGAAAGAAACTCTTCTAATTTCTAGTAAAGGGCAATCCTTTTACTAGAAATCCTTTATAAAGTGGGGTTGGTGAAGCCAGAATCATTGGCCTTGTTAGTTTCCCATGCAGGTGGGTGAATGGGAAACCCAGCTGGGTGAATGAAAGTAATGGGAGCAGGGAGGAGGTAAGAGAGGACATAGAAAGAGGAAGGTGCTAGAGATGAGGGAGGGAGGTCCTGGCGGGGTGCATACTAAGTGTTCAGTAAGTTTTTTTTTACATTAAATGGGATAAAATGCTAGTCGCAGAAGTTAATTTTATTGGTGAATGTCCTTACTCCCCTCTAGGAGAAAACACAAACCTAACTTGCTCTGCTTGTTTTGGAAAAGGCGCTCAGTTCTTGGCCACCGTCCAGTGGCAGCTTAATGGAAACAAAATTACAGACTTCAGTGAACCAAGAATTCAACAAGAGGAAGGGCAAAATCAAAGGTATTTTTATATCGAAGAGAACCATCCTCTTCCCCTTGCACATCGTTTGCACGTGCGAAGTAGGCATTACAAGTAACAGGTTGCTTTCTTAGTTTCAGCAATGGGCTGGCTTGTGTAAACACGGTTTTAAGAATAGCTGATGTAAAGGAAGAGGATTTATTGCTGCGGTACGACTGTCTGGCCCTGAATTTGCATGGCTTGAGAAGGCACACCATAAGACTAAGTAGGAAAAATCCAAGTAAGGAGTGTTTCTGAGACTTTGGTCACCTGAACTTTCTGTAGCAAGGGTAAGCGGAATGGAGTGTGGTTCCGAGAGATCCATCAAGACAATGGGAATGGCTTGTGCCATAAAATGTACTTCTCTTCTTTGGGATGCTGTTTGCTATCTGGTCTTTGTAGATTGTTCCTGTTTGCTGGGAGCTTCTCTGCTGCTTAAGTTCCTCCTCCTTCCCCACTGCCTCCTATGGTTGGTTTCTCTACAACACTCAGCTGCTTCTTTGGTCATCCTTGTTTTCTAACTTTATGAACTCCCTCTGTCTCACTGTATGTGAAAGAAAATGCACCAACAATAGTAAACTGAACGTGTTCTTTTGTGCTCTTTTATAACTTGTGTTACCTGTTGTAAACGTGGTTCCTTCTATACCTTTTTCTGGTCATAATGAACACTCATTTTGTTAGTGAGGGTGGTAAAGTGAACAAAAAGGGGAAGTATCTAACTACTGCCATTTCAGTGAGAAAATCCTAGGTGCTACTTTACAGTAAGACACTTGTTAGGCCATTCTTGCACTGGTATAAAGAAATGCCTGAGACTGGGTGATTTATATGAAAAGAGGTTTAATTGGCTCACGGTTCTGCAGGCTGTGCGGGAAGCATGGCGGCATCTGCTTCTGGGGACACCTCAGGAGCTTTACTCATGGCAGAAGGCAAAACAAAGGCAGGCACTTCAAACGGTGAAAGCAGGAGCGAGAGAGAGAGAGAGGTGACACACTTAAACAGCCAGATCTCATGAGAAATCACTCACTATTGCAAAGACAGCATCAAGAGGATGGTGCTAAACCATTCATGATGAGCTTACCCCCATGGTCCAATCACCTCCCATCAGGCTCCACCTTGAATACTGGGGATTACCATTCAGCATGAGATTTGGGCAGGAACACAGACCCAAACCATATCACACACATTATGATTGTTAAACTTTATAAAGTATTTAAGGTATATGGAACACATGGGAAGTCTGGTAGCTCAACCCATTTCTTTATTGCCTCTGTTATTCACCATGCAATTCAGGTACCACCTATTCCGGGGAACTTTTCTTGGCCCTCGGTTTGCGGTATACATGCTTTCTAAGTACTCTTGTAGCATCCTGTTTGTATCGTAGCACTGGTCACATTGCCTTGCCAAAATCTGTTTGACAGTCTGCTCAACATGACTGCAAGCTCCATGAGGGGAGGGACATCATCTCAACCATCTTTGGGTCCTTAGCGCAATACCTGGCAGCTAGCCAGTGCTCAGTTAAATATTTTTTGACCGAATAAACGAATGCACAACCAAGTTATTGATACCAAATGTTTTTTGTGTACATTTCTACTTCTCTAGCTATAAGGCTTAATTATACAACAAAATACTATTTTTATATTTATGCTTGGTAAATTCAATAACTTTCTCTATCAATTGGAAAGTGAAATTGTTTATTGCTTCCCTATAGTTTTTTTCTGAATCTAGCAGGATTTTAATGATATCATCATAATTTGACACAATAAAAGGACAATATGAAACTGATGAGTCTTTATTGGGTTAATTTCAGATGCTATATAATCTTTTAAAATGTAACATTCTTTTTTTATATATAAATAATTGGTGGCTTCCCAAATAGCCAAAGCAGGGTGGAGAGAGTGATCCCTCCTGGGTGCACACAAGAAGGGGATATGTTGCCTACAGAGTTTTCAAAACAGTAATAAAGCTGTCTACAAGTCATTGTGCTTCTTATCATCACCATGCCCAGATAATGCGAAACATCAGAGATGAAGTTCTTCCCCCACAGAGATGGACTGATCCTTCTGCTCTCTCCCTTGGTGTGTCTCCGTTGTGTCCAAGACAATGCAATGTTGTCTTGGAAAATAGCTTTCCAAGCATTTCACTCCTGAGCCCTTGTCAGTTTCCTCACTTGTTCTTCGCATATCCAGGCAAAGGCATCCTGTTCGCTATACGAAGCATTGTATCCCGTATAAAAGGAAGGAGAGAGAAAAATATATTTTTTTACACTCATCACTCCTCAGGGGCTGTACAACCATGTAGAAATTGTTTAACGTACTTGTCAAATAGCCAAAGAAAGTGTTAAATCCTGAGTTCCCACCCATATGTGCAGTGTGGTCCAGATTCATCCAGACACACACAGAGAGGCACAACAGGAGGAGAAAGGATTGGGGTGTGGGGACAGCAGACCCCCAATATGGTGTAATCGTGGCAGGTCTCTGCCTGAAGTGGTATGTGGGGTTTTTCTTGTTTTAATTTTGACTTTAACCCCCGATTTGTAAGTTTTTCACAAAATAAACAGAATCATAACTCATGCAGATGGCTGTAAGTGCCATAGTGTTCTGTGGGTCTCTGGTGTCTGCCAGTGATAAATGTGGCACCTCAGGAAGGCTGTGGACCCCGTCAAGGTGCTATGTGAGGGCCATGCTTGGGGTGGTGGTGGGCCCAGTGGACCCTGCAGCCATCCATCCAGCCTGCCCACCCACGCTGCCCTTGTGTCCTCCTGCTTTGCTACATTATCATTGATCAATGTCCCTGCTTACCGATGTGTTGGAATTGTTTTCGTGTTACAGGTGTTCAGTGATTTTGCTCCTTCTAGCTTATTTGTATGTCACCTGTTTTTCTTTAAGTCAACATGGTTACAGTCTGTTTCAGCACCTGTATAAATTAAACACAAATTATTACTACTGCTGTTGAGTTGTCATGATGAATTCTTTTTTATTTCTGATATTTAAGAGAGCAAAAACTTAAAAGGCCTGTGCCCCCATTTTATTAACTATTACTAAATACATATTTGATGCTCATAATAATAATAGTACACATTTATTCATTATTTCCTATGTACCAGGACTCATCTACTTATTTTACATTTAACTTTCTCGTTTATTTTCTCAATACTTCAAAGTAAAAGGCAAAGAAAGTTGGATAACTTGCCAGATACCACAGTTATGGAGCAAGGATTCAAACACAGCCAGCATTTTGCTATTTATATGTGTATACAGAAAGTAATGTTTAGTCATCACATACCTGAATTACTTATACTTTTATAAAATGATTCACACTTACAAAGACTCCCTTTGAGGTCTTGGATCAACATCTTTCTTTTGCTTGGAAGTGTCCAGTCACTGGCATGGTTACTCCCCAGCATTCCCCACAGGAAGTACACATTCCTCTGTGCATCCAGCTGGGGTTTTTAGACAGAGTGACCTGGAAAGGAATCCTGTTGAAACAATTTACTTAACAGAGTTTTCATTATTTAACCTGATGACAGTAAGCTCTTTGTCAATTTTCACATTTTTCCCCCAACTTTGAGTCATATCACCTTGATAATTCTTGATTTCATACTGCTGGTTACTGAGAGAGCTGATAAACTATTAGAGGTTGTGGAGGAATTTGTGAATATGGTCCAGTGCTTTTTCTACCTCAGAACTGGGAGCCCATGCATGGAGACTTAAGATGGAAATGAACCATATCAGCAAATCTCATTTGAGATTCTTCTCACATTCGTCAGTGCATATGCGTGTTGCATCTGCATTTTGTGAAGCAAGGAGTACTAGGATAAAGTTCAGTGTTGGCTGAGTAATGTTCACCATGAGAGAAGTATGGGCTATGAGTAGGACCTAGAACTTAGTAATTTGACTTTTGAGTTCTTTATCAAAGATGCTTTAGCCACTTAGGTGACTCTTGCTTCTTCTTCTATCTCCCACACCACCAAGCCCTTAGAGGTCACAAATCTCTCAGACCTGTCGATGCCTTCTCCTTAATGCCCTGACAGCACCTTGTCTATTCCTTTCTCATTATTGCGTGAGTTACAACCCTCTGCATCTTGCATCCCAAGTACCACACTCCATTCTTTTCTGAGTGCCCATAGTTTCTTTCCACAGAAACAAACTTTCTACTACCATCAGATTAATCTCATGGGAAAACCACTCAAGGCTCCAATGCTCCTGTGACCTTCAGAATAAGGCAGTCTGCCTTAGTTGGGGTTTCAAGTCTGGACAGAACCTGGCCCTGACCAACCTTCCTAATCATATCTTCCACCAATTCCCCAAACTAGGTTATTCCAGTTCCTCAGAAAACACACTTCCTCTCTGCACTTAGGCTTATGGTATTCTCTCTGCCCAGGTGGGCCTTCCCTTTTTTGCATCTCCCTGAATCCTACTCATCTTTCAGAGGCCTCCTCCTCCTCCAGGAAGGCTCCCTTTCCAAGTACTGCATGGAGCAAGTTCTCCTTCTAAAATCCTCTGCCAGCAAAAATCATGCTTTTGCCTCCCATCTTAGTTAAGTTGACGAGTGTCTCTGTGCCTCTTTTGCCGTTGAGAATTCCCTGTAATGCTTAGCCTGATATGTGGTAGAGGCTCAATAAATGTGAATGTCCTGGTACTTAAAGCAGTCATGAAAATTCTCAGTGGGTATATCTTACATGAAATTCTTATACTCCCAAGGGAAGCCAGCATCCATGTATCTGTTTATTAAATCTTGTTTCAGTAGTAATAATAATCATTTTTCTTTCTTTTGAATAGTTGATCATCAAAGCACCTACTGCATAATTGCAGTATGTAGTGTATTGTTAATGCTAATCAATGTCCTGGTTATCATCCTAAAAACGTTCTGGATTGAGGCTACTCTGCTCTGGAGGGACATAGCTAAACCTTACAAGACCAGGAATGGTAAGTGGCAAATACCAAGTTTTTCACCCAAAGAAAAAGTCACATAATAACTGTTGGTTACTTGTCTATTAATTTTTCAATAGCTAGGCTGCTAAACCCAGATTCCATTTTGCTTGCTAACCTGTTATCAGTGAGTTGTGTTTTTGGATTTTCTTAGAGGCCATTTTCCATCCTGCTCTGTAACTCCTCATGGTCCTGAGATTCATCTCAACAGCTCACATTTCTTCCCCGATAGGATTGCTATTCCTACTCAGTTACCAATGACAGAATCTGCCCCAAGCCCAGAAAGGTGTAAGTTTCCAATATAATGTATTGGTAAGATATTATGAAGTTAAACACAGTAGCAAAATTGTTCCTATTTTCCAGATGTGAGCAGGTTAGAAAGGTCCGTCAGAACGCATGTGTGTTCTACCTGAAACCCTGATCTGTAAAGTCTAACCTAGGCACACAAACATGCTCATGAAAGGAGTCAGTTCTGCCTGCTAGATGCAAACCTCATGCTTTCGTTTGGAGGCAGATACACGTTGCATTTTTCAATCAGTTGACTCAAGTAGGAGCTAACGGTTTGATTTGTGGAAAATTCAGACCCCTTAAAAAATTCTATGCCCTTGCTACTATTAACTTTACATTTTTTCACTTCCCCAGGGGAGTATGGGGAAACCAAAGATGAAACCAAGGTCTATCCAGCACAGAAGGCCCCCTTGTTCATAGATTATTAATCAGCATTGATGAAATGGTTTTAACTGCACTGGACAGGCTCCACTTTTTTGTTATTTAGTCTGTGACAGTAAAAAGGAGAAATACTCTGGGATGAAGACTGTTATTTCCTGATCATGTTTTGTGGCAGTGGTTTGGTCGTCAACATCTCTTGAGTCTGGAACATTTTGGAGGATGACACGCATTCACCAACAGCCATAAAACTTGGAGAGCAACGTCTTCTAAGAGTCCAGTAAGAATTTTTAGAATCAAGTAAGAAGTTGTACTTCTTGTTTTCATTTTCAGATGGAAAGCTCTATGATGCTTATGTTATCTACCCACGGAACTACACATCCAGTACAGATGGGGCCAGTCGTGTAGAGTACTTTGTCCACCAGATTCTGCCCGATGTTCTTGAAAATAAATGTGGCTATACCTTATGCATTTATGGGAGAGATACGCTACCTGGAGAAGGTAAAGCTATGGACATACATTAGGGACGGAAATTCATGCTTATTAGAGGCTGTGAACTAGGTGGCCTTATCCCTGCATTGGATAAGGAATTGCATTTACTACCTCAGACCTTAAGACCAAAACTTTAAATATTTATCCAGGAGCAGACACTTATCCTTCACTCTTCCCTCTCCCATCATTGTCCCGGTGATGAGATCTTCACAGTAATGTCGGTGGTATGAATTCAGAGTTAGAAGTCCTGTGCTTCAAGGACTTAGTAAACCATCATCCCTACTTTATTTCCTTGGTCCCCCACCAGGATAACTCTGCCACTTCTTAATTCTGTCCATAAGATTTGAAAGAGGACTTAAACATTGAAGAATTTTGTTCTGGTAGCCATAGGCACTAGCTGAAATACCTTAAAAGGACTCAGAGAGTCTTCATGACTTTCTTTATGTTGGTGAAACATTTGCAAATTTATATTCTCACCAGAGCACATAGAATTGTAGCTTCTGTTCCTTAATATTCTTACCCAATTTTATATATTTTTGACAGTTTTATCACAACTCCTGTGATTTCAGTAGCTATTTTTCACTTCCCTTCATACATTTATGTCCAGTACCTATGGACCCTCCTTGTGAACTCTTCTCTAATTTCTCCCAGATCAGGAAGGGTTTGGAATATAAATGGGGCTCAGATATCAAGGGCCTAAGCCTAATAAAGTAAACATTCAGTTTTACATTTTAAACTCATCTTACTAAGAAGAGGAATTCACATGCCTATAGATGTAAAGGTATGAACAACAGGTGAATTTGGTTTACCCTGGAATATCTGGGAATGCTCATAGCCTCAATAATGGCTCAAGAGACTGGTGAAAGGTACAGTTCAGGAGAATATAATGCACTTCTTCTCTTGAGGCTCTCTTCTTCTCCCATTTTCCCACTGGCCACCCAGGCAGATAGAAGTAATGAGTAATGCTCTCAAACACTCCTTTCGTACTCAAGGACCTGCAGGGACTCCTGTTGTTTGTGAGCTCAACAGTGTGCCACATCTGGCCACAAGCTCTTCACCTCTTCTTTCTCAGTCCATCCACCTAAGTTCTAGTTACACTTCTCCCCAGCTAAACCCAGATGCTAGCTCTCTCACACTCAAGCTTGTGCTGCCTTCAATGTGTGACAACATACTAATCTGGAATGGTTTTCTACTTCCCTCCATCAGTGCATGTCCTCTGACCTTTCCTCAACCAAAATAAAATGAAACCCAATAAAACAACACCAAACTTCACTCTTTGCTTAGGAAAGTTCATGACTGACTAAGGTGCTATCTTTATTCTCATGAGACTTATCTTGCATTTGCCCCACCAAAATCCTCTCTGCATCACCACTCCATCCAGTGGCCCTGGGTGGCTGATCATCATAGAAGCCATTGCACCCTTGTCCTCTGCTCCAGGCTGGGTTTAGCCAATGGGAGACACTGGCAGGAGGTCAGAGGGTGGTCATGTACCTGACCCTCCAGGTGGGGCTTCCGCAGCAGCTGTGCTCCTGCCTCTGGGAGCACCTCTTCTCAGCTGGCCTGCCTCATGCATCTGCAATTCCTCAGACACCAGTCTATCAGAATATCATGGGTTGTTTTATTCATGGTTGTGCTTTCTTCTGCTGCAGTGAGGACTGGGTATTTCATGTTCTTTCTAAGTCTACCCAGAGTGAATTGGAATCACCATGGAGTCTATGCTCTATAAACACCAAAAGGGAAAGGGGATCTATTGTCCCTTAAGATTTTTCTAGTCTGGATCAAATCCATTTCTACAACAGAGATTAATGGGGGGTGAAGTGAAGTCAGGACTTACTTTCCTAGAGACTTGGGTCAATTTTGAGGGGCAGAGCTTCCTGAGTTTGTGCTTTTAAATATGTGAGTTAAATTTTTAAGCCATTTTAAAACATATAAGCAAATATTCTAAGAAGATAATATATATCTAATGAATCAGAATTCTAAGTCTCTAATGCAACAGTAGACTAAATATCTTTACATTCCCATTTACCTAGAAGGACTCTGTTTTAGTTAAGACTAAGCTACCTGGGAAATAAAAAGAGGACATTGGGGCTGATATTCTCTCAAATGAAAGGAGCACAAAGAAAAAAATGGGTTCTCTATCCACGTATATTTCCACTTCTATGAATAAGTGACTTGATTGATGTCAGAGAATCTCACACCAGATTATAACAATAAGACTTTTACATGTTCAGGATGTTTATGTTTCAAGCATTAGACTGATAGGAAATCTTATCTATTTCTTGTATGACTAGATGTAGTCACTGCAGTGGAAACCAACATACGAAAGAGCAGGCGGCACATTTTCATCCTGACCCCTCAGATCACGCACAGCGAGGAGTTTGCCTACGAGCAGGAAGTTGCCCTGCATAGTGCCCTCATCCAGAACGA